AGGAATGCATTCCTGTCACAGTCTGATCCAGAGGGCAGGGTGGAGATTTGTCTTTAAGATTCAGTAGGGAACCTGAGGTCCAGATTGGAGAAAGACTTGGCCTGAGGTCGCACAACCGAGTTTGGGATTCCAGTCTAGGCTCCTCTCCCCTGGGAGGCTGTCCTCTTGAGAATGTGGGCATTTTGTCTCTTTGAGACAGTATCCATTTTTTTTAGTGGTGACAGATATCCCTTTGGTGTGCTACATTTTAAAGTTGGCTCTTTTTAAAAAAAAATATTTTATTTATCTTTAGAGAAGAAGGGAAGGAGAGAGGGAGAGAAATATCAATGTATGGTTGCCTCTCCTGAGTCCCCTGCTGGGAACTGGCCTGCAACCCAGGCATGTGCCCTGACTAGGAATCGAACCATGATTGTGTGCTTCGCAGGCCCACACTCAATCCACTGAGCTACACCAGCCAGGGCAACATTTTTAAAAATATTTTATTTATTTATTTATTTAGAGACAGGGGAAGGGAGGGGGAAGGAGAAAGAGAGGGAGAGAAACATCGATGTGTGAGAGATACACCAACTCATTGTCAACCGGAAATCCAGGAATCGAACGGGGGACCTTTTGGTTTGCAGGATGGCACTGAATCCACTGAGCCACACCGGCCAAGACACAACAGGCACTTTTTTGAAGTCTACTGTCTGGATCCTCTCCAAGATCATCCTTTCTGGCTGTGGCCCTTTTTGCTCCTGGGATCGCCTACAGTTCTGCTTTCCTGAATTTTGCCATAACTTGGCCATAGTCCCCCTGTTTGGGGCAAAATCTTTCAAGTCTTACTCAAGAGGTAATATCATCTGGAAGCAGAGTCTCTTCCATTGAACAAAACTTCCCCGAGCACCTGTTCCATGCCAGGCCCTGAGCTCAGAGGCGACTCCAGTGGATCTTTGTCTTTGAGGACTTGTTTGTAAGACCCCAGGGAAACACAGACATATACATATGCAAGTGCAAAAAACAGGTCTGCACCCAGGAGCGGTCAGTTCAGCTCATAGTGTCTGAGTCTGAAAGATAAGAAGGTAGGAGTTGAATGTGGGTGGGAGTAGATAGAGCTCTTGGGAGAAGCAACCACTTTTGAAAAGGCCCAGAGTTGCAAGATGGCACTGCATGCTTGGGAAATGTCAGCCAAGTGCCCTGTGTGAGATGCAGCTGGGGAGGTGGGCAGGGGTCCTCAGGAAAGGTCTGAATTTTAGGCTAAGGAGCAGAGACTTTGGCCCATATGCAATGGGAGAGGCATGCAGGGCAGAGCTAAAGCAAGGGAAGAAGATCAGATGTACATTTGGAAAGATCTTTCAGATCTTTTACTGGGGAGGCTGGAAAGACATTAAGACAGGGTAGTTAAAAGGCTGTTGTTACAGGTTAGAAGAACTTAAGAAGCATCCATCCAATTCTTTTATCTTGTTGATGCACAATCTGAGACCCAAAAAGTTAAAGTGACTTGCCCAAGGTCACCCAGCAAGTTAATAGCAAAATCAAGGCTTCAGCCTGTGATTCCTGGCTCCCAGGGCAGGGATTCTCCACTGCCCCAGTATCCTCAGGAAGAGAGGTAGCCAATTGAGATTCCCCTGCTGTCCTTTGCCTCTGAATCTGTCGTGCACATTGCCCTACTGTAACCAGCCTGCTAGGCAGTGAGACAGAAGTGTTCCCAGAGGACAAGGCGGGGAGCATTGCCCATCTGCTTCTGAAGCTGAGGCTACTGCTGCTGTCTCTTCACCAATCAGGGAGCTTTCCTGCTGCAGGAGGAAGCCAGGAGCCAGGGGATGGGGCTGTGGTGATTTATGACTATACAGAAACAGCAGGACACTAATGTCTCTGGCTGGCCTGGTTGTCTGCCAACTTAGCCAGAGAGGATGCTTCTAAAGGTCATGTCCTCCAGCACTGGAGTTGAGGTGGATTGTTAACCATATAGGGTGCCTGCCCAGTGCCCTTGTGTCACATCACCAGAGGGCAGGGCTCCTCATTTCCTAAGAACCTGCCAAGGGGTGGATCCTCATAGCCAGGGCAGGAAAGGGTATCCTTGCTTTTGGGTGTCCAGAAGATCTGCCTGGGTTTGAATTCAGGCTCTCTGTGTCTCAGCTTTCTTGTCTAGAGCGCATGGATGATTCTGAGACTCTCAATCCTTGGGACTCAACCATATCACAAGTCATTAGGTAAAGATCCCCTGTTTCCACAGCTAAAGAATGCCAATAGTTTTCCATTTCAGAAGAGGAACATGTTGAATCTAGAATTATGATTCATCACAGCTGGGTGGAGCACTTAGTTCCTGTTCAGTTTCATTTGTCACTACAAAGGGGGGGAAATTGAGACCCAGAGAGGGGACAGGACTTGGACATTGAGTTGGGGACTAGGCAAAAGCCAGAATGTTAGTTCTCCAAATCCTTGCTTCAGGTTTCTTTCAGCAGTAACAGGCAGTGGCAGAGGAAGTCAGAATATTAAACCATTTGCTTTGTATAATGTTACATGTCTTTGAAGCAGTCTTCTAAAGAGCCAGGGACTGCTGGGCTGCTGCAACTTTAAGCCTAGAGTCTTAAAAAAAAATTAAAAGGGAAAGGAGGGCAGGGCCAGCTCTCCCCTGCACCACTCGAAGGGAGCCTTAAAGTGGAGACCACAGATGTCATTACTGTTTGACTTTGGAATATCCTTTCTTTGCATCAGCTTAACTTTTCCCAAACAGATTTGACCTGGACTTTTTTTTTTTTTTAAACATACATTGGACTGGTAGGGGAAGTAACTGAGGTGGAATGGTCAGGACAACACCATGAAATGTGCCAGGAAGTTCCCAAGATTTAGCATTGGCACCTTTAATCCATACGTAGACAACCAGCATTGGCTGATAGGGCTTATTCCCATGGACCTGGGATGCCCAAATTAGAATAATTCAGGCCTGGTCTGCAGGCAGGGGGGAAAAAAAAAAGGAAGAGGAAGGACTTGGTGAATAGTCTTGTTAGAGACAGAAGGAAATGGGAGGGTTTATTCACCAGCAGGACCTCACTTTGCTCAGTGGAAAGCCTTTCTACATTTTCTTCTCACTCAGTACATCTCCTCTACTCCTGCCAGAGCAGCCTACTTAAAGTGCATTCACTCATTCATTTCTCTGATATGTTCTACATATTTACTGTGTGCCGGGCCCTATGCTGAGCACTGAGGAGGCAGTGATGAAGACGACAAAACACAGATCTCATTTTCTGCTCTTGTTAAAATCTTTCACAAGCTTTCTATATATTTCAGAATAAAGAATTCACTTCCTTGCCTACCATTCAGGGGTCCTCAAGTTCTGGCTCCCGACTGCATCCCCTGCCCTGCTATCACTTTAGGCAACAAACACTGGATTCTTTGTCATGTTAGGGAGGAACCTGCCTCTGAGTCCTGCTGCCTGTGCCCTCTGCCTGCTCTCAAATCCTATGTGTCTTTGAAGGGCTGGGTTGGAAATGTTACCAACTTCCTTGGAGAAGCTTTTCAAAATCTCTTCCTATTCACCCAAAAATAATTTTAAAAGAATACATAGCCTTAACAGATTCTAAATTCCTTGAGGGCACTTAACACATTCTAAATTCTATGCTCTCTTCCCCAAGCATCTAGCATAGAGTCTGGAATATTCCCTCACCGACCTTTATTCTAGGTTATCATATACAATAAATACCTAATACCCCCTACGTTGTATTTTTACTCCTTATCACTTTCTAACATATTCTACATTCAGGGGTAGGCAAAAGTATGTTCACAGTTTCGAGTATGTAAAAGAGTTTACTCTTGTATTATTATCGTATTAGTCATTTGTGTAACTGTAAACCTACTTTTGTCCCTGTTTCTTGCCCATTAGGTAAGGCTTTTTGTTTTTGTTGTTCACTGCTGCATCCCATTGCTTAGAACTGTGCTGGAACATAGTTGGTGTTCAATGATACCTTCTGGATAAATGAAGTAAATAAAACGTGCAGTGAAAACTATGGGGTGTGTGAGCTACATGGAATATCAAAAAGGGAAGCACATGAACAAGAATTCGTCAGCTTGACCTCAGTGTGTATGTCTCAGGTGGAGAAGATTGGTTAACCCCAGATTCAACCTAGTGTTAAGAATACAGTAGGCTCTCAGCAACACAATTTAATCTTTAAACATTAAACAGTGTTTTAATCTTTAACACTCAAACCTGGGGAGAAAGAAGGGGCTCCCCAGGTGTCAGCTGGTAGACAGCCGCATCCTTTCTGTAAACTAACCAGTATGCCTGGCCAATACTTGTCCTTCTACGTTTCCACTTCATCAGGTCCGAGAACCTCAAGGTGGGGTGGGGAACTGGAATCTTGAGGGGGAGGGTAACATTTTAGCTCCCAACTGTTTAGCTCCTTAATTCAACCACCCCAGGAGCGAGCAACACCGTAGCAGTTCGGATCTACGCTAGGACCCCCTAACTCCCCCATCTGTGAGCCACCTTGGCCTGCTTCTTTAACTCGGACACAACGTCGAGGGCTATGGCCCCAGCCCGTTCCTTCGTAATTTCCCGGAGAATATGGGGCGGGGCCATGAATCAGCACTCGCTCCGACTGATACAGTCTAGACCCCGCCGGGAGACCCCAGCGGCTGCAAAATTAGAACCCACCCCCATTCCTACGCCTGCGCGCTATGACCACTGGGAGATGTAGTGTTGACCGCCCCTTTGTCCTTGATCACTCCGACGTACGTAGCGCCTCGCCGGTAGATGAACTACAACTCCCAGGGGCCCAGGCGCTGGGGCCTGGCAGAGCGAGGGTCTAAGAGGGTAGGAGTGGGGGAGGTCTGGAGAAGCTGGGGCGCAGGAACTAGGGTGAGGTGAAGAAGGTGAGCAGGAGACAAGAAAAGGACACCTACAAGACGGCGGCAAGCTGAGTTGAGAAGAAGCCTGCGCAGTGGAAGAGCCGGGGCGGAGCCTGGACGGGGTGCGCGGGTGGGCGGGCCTTAACGTCACGCGGCGTGGGCGGGACCGCAGGGGGTTGTCCTCTCGCTGCACGCACCAGCCGCAGCCGCCTCACTTCTGGTCCCGCGGTTGCAACTCCAGCCGCAGGCGTCGCGCCGCCCTCGTCTTCTCAGCCGCTCGCTTCGTGGGTCGGTCCCTCCGGCACACGGGCTCCTGCCGCGCCGCAGCTGTCTTCAGAGCCTTTAGGCCTCCCTGGTTTTCTCGCCCGGCCCGACTCAGCCCGCGAAGATGGTGGACCGCGAGCAACTGGTGCAGAAAGCCCGGCTGGCCGAGCAGGCGGAGCGCTACGACGACATGGCCGCGGCCATGAAGAACGTGAGTTTCTCTTCCCCTCCCCCCTCCCAGCCTTTTTCCATTCGCGAGCCTTTTGGACAACCTGGGGATTAGTCGTTTGTCGCGACTGCGAGGTTGGCCGCCACTCTTCGCTCACTAAGGGGACGGGGAGGGTCTCAGCAGCGAATGGGGACCCGGGTTGTGACGCGGTCTCTCCCCAAGAGTCCCTCGGGGCCCGCGGTGCTGCCTTCGAGGCCCTCCCCGGCCTAGGGTTGGGGCGGAGTCTTTCAGGACTGGTCTCAGAAGCGGGGTCTTTGGTCCCACGTCTCCGGGGATGCTGAGGACCTGAGCGGGGGGCTGTGCGCATCCTTTGTGCCCCACTTCCCCTCCTCCCAGCTTCGGTGTGGGGGCGGGGGACCGCATGGATGCGGTTCCTCTTTCTCTCCCTGGTGTCTGGGCGGCGCCTTTCCCATTCACTCAGCATGTCTCCCGGTTTTCTAACCCCCCTCTCCCCCAAATCGTCCCTGCTGCCTTTACTGACAGATCCTGTAGAACCTCCCTGGGGAAAATGTAGGCTTTTTTGAAAACCTGGACAAAATCGAAAGCTTCCTCACATTTTTTTCTTAACAAAAGGCTCCTCTTTCTCCATTTCCCAAAGCAAATCCTCTTTTTAGGAACGTTTTGTCTCTCGCTAGCGCGTTTTCATTGATTGTTCTCGACATGTCATCTCCATTTTTTCCTAATGTTTGTATTGAAAAGGGTAGGTATTGTCTTTAAAATAAAGGTTGTGGATTTATCTGGCTTGTTCAATTTGTGACATGCTGTTTGTTTTTAAAATACAGGCACACATCTGTTGAAATGAAGTTGAAAAAATGTTCTCTAATCTGTTACTGCAAACAAAGCGGTGGTGGGAGGCAGTATCAAGTCATTCCAGAAGATTCTGCATTTGTCATATTGCAGAGAGCCTAGAGGAGGTGGAGGCTGGGAGGAGTTATTTTAAAGGGGAAAAAGTCTTAAAATTTTTTTTGTTAGATACATCGCAGGCTAAAAAAAAATTGCTATCGCATCCTCGTGCCGCTGGAACGGGATCCTGCTCTCCAGTTGTCTGCGGATTCCTGCCTGTATTGCACCATTTTTGTCAGTAACACTGTATTTATCTAATGGGCTGTTAACCAGTTTGATATTAGAGGAGAGGGAGGAGTTGAACGTTATTAAATGAAACATGGAAAATCCAATTAATGATTTTAGGTCTCTCACTATTTTAATATTTAACTTCCTGCCTTATGTAACAAAGGTTTTAAAATGCATCTCCAGTGTGAAGTGGATTTAGGAGTGTACCTTGCATGTTAAATCTTTTTAATGAAGCGGTACAGGCATTACAGATTACTGAACAACTTTATGAGTTCACAAAAAGATAATGCTGATGCCTTTATATATTAAGTCGGCAATGTGAACAAAAATTGTTTAGTCTTGTTAAGGAAGGGAATTGGTTTTTAAATTGGGAGCACCATCGAATTAATATATTGTCACAGTTCCTATCTTAAAACATTTTAAAGCTCAAATACAGGTTGCACTTTCCATAATACAGGTTCTTGTTTAGACTCTCCTCGTTTTTACTTCAAGTTTCTCAGAAAAGCGAGTGACCTCGCGCCCATATCCATAGCAATCCAGTGATGTCACACACAATGACACAGAGGCTGCAATGCACCTAAGGGCTGGTAGGGAGTATGCAAATGGCATTTGTCCAAGGTAATGCAGAAATTAGCAGATAAGCCAGGTGGAATTGAGCACTCATCTTTCACCAGATAAGGATTGGTGCAAAAAATAAGGATTTCGTTTGTCCGTGGATGTCCAAGTCAGTGACCTCTAGATGTGCCTATTCATTTTGCTATTTCTAGTTTTCTCACACAAGTGGATAAGGTACGTTTGTAATTTTAAACATTCATCTTGCCATTAAAATTGAGCAGTGATGGAATAAAGGTATACATTTTAAACAAGAATACATTCTATGATCATAGTACAGGGGACAGTCTGTGTACTTGGGCTTATTGCATATTATTAACTTGGCAGGTTTAATAAAAACCTTAAAATATGCCTTTCTAAAGGGTCATTTTCAGTAAATGTTAGGGAATGAGAATCTGTTAAAAAACACTATGTTCTGATTTGGGCAGGTTTTCTTTTACTGTGTTTATGCTTCTCCGTAATGGAGTTTGGAGGAAAGAACACTTTGTAAAGTAAAGCAGACTATTTTTTGAACCTGTTTATGATGACTTGTAGGAAGTAGATGTACCTTGCACCTACCTTTCCTCATCTGTAAAATGGGTCAATTCCTAACTTGAAGTTGTGAGGATTAAATCAATGCAGTAGATGCTCAAAATGGTAACTAGTCATAAAACTTTGTTTTTTCCTTACAAAAATCCTCACAGACAATTTGGGAACGACTGGAAGATACAAAGAAAATAGTCCCACATGTTAGAAGAATTAAATTTATTTGCATTTAATGAAATTATTCTAGTAATGACACTATTGGGACCTGTGCAGGGTGGTAGTTGTAGGTGGGTGACCAGGATAGAAACAATGTGCAGTGTTTTGAAAAGGAAGAAAGAGGAAGGAAGTTTATGCTTTTAAAACAAATGTGTAGTCTTACATTTAAGGAGAGAGTTAATACCTAGATGTTTCCTACTGGCTAGAGAGTACTGTCCTGTCCTTAGGATTTTACTGCCTCCTGAGAAGTTAATATTCTGAGTAGGCTATTGGTACTTCCTGGGGTTGGGGGTGGAGAAAAGTTTCTGGGCCACTAACTTTGATGAAGTCATTGGGTTGAGTGATTGAACTTGGGTGTGTGTGGGGGGGCATTGGTGGCAAAAAGCTATCTTAATTTTAAAAGTCTTCCTAGTGGAATCAATATACTTTAAAATTCTTATTATCTTGAAATCCTCTTTTTCCTACTAGCTCTTCCAGGAGGCTGGATCAATAGCCATTATTGCTAATGGGCTAATGGACTAATGACACCTCTGTAGACTCTTCAGAGGTGGAGCTCTGCCAGCCGATATTCTAAGTCATGTGGTTTCAGTTGTTCTCTTTGGGGAGGAAAGAATACAGATAACAGTTTGCTTTTTATATGTTATTCTTCACAGTAACTGAAATGAATATTAACTGCTTTTTCTAATTACTAAAATATTGCGATAAAAGACATTGCTAAGTGTGCATCCTCTTTATTAATCTGTTGTATTGACTGCTGACCCTGGGGGGGATTTCATCCCTTAGTACTTGGAGGAACCTTTGCTTATTTATCACACCAAATTCTAAATTATTAAAAAGAGTGGAGAAAATGATGTTGCTTTTATTGAGGTAAAAGTTGTGTAACAACTAACCATTTTCAAGTATACTTTCAAGCATTTAGTATATTCATAATGTTGTATAACCATCACCTCTAGTTAAAAGCAATGATGATTTTGCTATAGCTAGGTGGATTTCAAAACACGACTGATTTAGGAATATGTCAAAATGAAGTGCCCACAACAGCAAAGCCAAAGGTAATTAGTATCCCTTTGTCTTTGTTTTCTAACTTCTAGACCTTTTCAGCCTAACTTTTAAGGAGGGGCTTAGCTAGGTTAGTATTTACATTTTAAAAAGTTACAAAGCCTAAAAACCACATGGTGCTCACCCAAATAAATAAGAACAAGTTACCTGAAATCAGAGCCAACTCACTATTTAGATATCATGGAAATTTTGCTGGTGTTCTTATGACTTATTTTCTGCCCCAAGGCCCACTTTGTGAGAGGTGATTTTCCTGCTGTGTGGCCACAGGCCGCTCATGATCACTGGGCAGCACTGAGAGTAGTGAGCGATTCAAGTGTGGGGTTCTTACATGAGGGGATTCCTGTAAAGAAGTTGTTAAGTACATTGTATTGATGGGTCTGTGGCTGCTAGAAGCTTCTCACCCTCGTATCACTACTCCTTTTATCTGGCAGGGCATTTTTCTGTATTTCTACCAGATTTCATGGGATGTGAAAGAAAACTGAAGACAATTTTATATATTTAATAGTCAAGGTGGGGGAAATCACATATCAAGCACTGTTTTTTGTCTTATTTTCTAAGCTCCGTTTCTTCGTGTTTGACCAGACATTTGAAACTGTAATTATGGGCAGGGAGTGGGGGCACTGTGTGTGTTGTCTCTAGGCGACTAGTACCAGCTGCCTTTCCTCTCATAATCGTTTTCCTGTTGTCTTCCCCAAATTCCATTTCAGATATCAGCTGTCATTTGGGTTTGCTGTGAAACCATATCTTTCTTTAAATTGGCACTTATAGAGGTCCTTGGAGTTTTGACTTTACTAATTTATAAATTTGAATAGTTAAGAAAATTGTAACATAAAAAGTAATCAACAAAAATCCCCCAAAAGAAAGCTTTAAAATAAATGGTTGAATAAGTCGTTTATTTCCATGACTTTGCAGAAACAATAAATATTATAAATCTTAAAGACTTTGCATGAGTTTTTTTCCCTCTTTTTTAAAAAAAACTGGAAGTCTACCCTGGTCACATGCCTGGGATGTGGCTGGGTCCCCAGCCCCAGTAGCAGGGCGTGTGAGAGGCAACCACACATGATGTTTCTCTCCCCCTTTTTCTCCCTCCCTTCCTAAGAATAAATTAATAAAAATCTTTAAAAAAACCCCACAAAACCTGTGAAAGTCTAAGCCAGATTTTCATCAGCCTTCATCTTGAATACCCCACAGAAGTAGATTTTTCTTTACCTGAGTTAGTACTGTTGGTGCGCCACAAAGCATTAGTTGGGTTGTGAATTGGTAAATAAAAACGAGAGTGTTCTTACATATATAGGTTTTTAAAAAATATTTTAACCACAGTTTATATTTAATATTTCTGTTTCAGGTGTACAGCATGGTGGTTAGACAATCATACTTTACAGAGTGTTCCCCCAATATTTCCAGTATCCACTGGTACCGTAGTTACAATGTCATTGAGTGTATTTCCTATGCTGTACTTTACATCCTCAACATATATCAATACTTTTTTAATATGACAT